TCGTCGCCGAGCTCGCGGCGCGCTGCCCGGACGTGCCGTTCCTCTGCGTGTCGACGCGCTGGACGCGCGACTCCGAGGCGGAGATCCAGGCGCTGAAGCGGCTGCCGAACGTCGTCTTCGCGAGCGGCGTGCCCTCGGAGCGCATGGACGCCCAGGTCTGGCGGCGCACGCGGGTTTTGCTCGCGCCGTCGGTCTGGCCCGAGCCCTTCGGCTTGGTCGCCGTCGAGGCGGCGCTCCGGGGCATCCCCGTGCTGTCGACGAACCTCGCCGGTCTCCGGGAGTCGAACGTCACGGGCCGGGTCCTCCCCTGCCCCCTGCTCATGGACATCCACGTCCAGAAGACCTTCGCGTGCGCCGACGGCCGCGACGTCGTCGCGGCGTTCGAGGGCCTGTCCGACGGCGAGCGGGCGGCGCTACGAAGCGGCGCGCCCGTCGCGCCCTTCGCGCCGGCGACGCCCGCGGACGTCGCGCGCGCCGCGGAGCCCTTCGTCGCGGCGCTCCGGGAATTGACGGACGCGGACGGCGCGCTCGAAACCGCGGCGGCCCGCGCGCTGAAGACGGCGCTGGACCACGTCGAGCTCCGCCAGCACAGCCTCGCGCGCGTGCTCCGGGGCCTGGACGTGGCGCGGCCGCCCTGGGTGCGGCGCCACGTCGACGGCGTCGGCGGCCCGGACTCGCAGCCGGGCGCCGCGGTGCTCGCCGCGAACCTGGCGGCGAATCTGGCCGTCGCCGGCTAGGGGAGCGACGACGATAAAGTGGCCGTCGCCGGCTAGAGTCGCTCGTCTTAATCGTCGTCGCTCTCGCGAAGCTCGCGGCGAATCTGGCCGTCGCCGGATAGACTAGCTCGTCTTAATCGTCGTCGCTCCCGGCGGTCTTCTTCTTCTTCTTGGACCGGTACGCGGCGGCCTCGTGGTCCGCGGCGGCCTCGCGCTTCTTGGTCATGGCGTAGGTCTCGTCGTCGGAGTCGTAGAGCGTCGCCTCGCCGTAGCCGCCGTCCGTGCCGTCGAAGTTGCGCGACAGCTTGGGCGCGGCGACCGTGGCCGTGCCCATGATGGGGTCGCGGTGGACGACGCCGCCGGTCTTGGCCTTGGCCTTGCGCCGCTCGCGCCGGTTGCCGCCCGCGGGCGTCGGACGCACGGCCGACTGCTGTTGCTCGGGCGGCGCGGCCGCGGCGTCGAAGTCGTCGTCGTCGTCGCCGTCGTCGGTCTTCGCGGGCCGCGCGGGGGGCGCGGCCGCGGGCGCCGCCTCGGCGGCGCCGTCGTCGTCGTCGTCGACCATGGCCGCGGCGCGGCGCGACGCCTCGGCGCGCTCGCGGAGCGAGCGGCCGTCGCCGTCGCCGGACCGCGTCGCGAGGCCGGGGGCGTAGTCGGCGCCCGCGTCCTCGAAGATGTCGTCGCTCCGCGCGGGCGCTTTCAGGGACACGGGCGCGGCGGCGGCGTCGGCCGGCGCGCGCTTCTTGCCCTTCTTCTTCTTCGCTTGGCCGCGGCCGAGGGCCTCGCCGACGGCCCGCGCGAGCGGCGCGGGCAGGGGCGCGCCGAGCTCGCGGTCGTCGTAGAGCTGGGACCGGTCCGCGCGGCTCCGGGACACCGTCGTCGGCGCGTCGCCCGAGTCCATCAAAGCGGCGCGCGACAGGTCGTATTCCAAGGACGTCGTCCGGAGCCGGAGCCGCGCCGTCGCGGACCGCGCGGGCGGCGGGCGCCGGAGGAACGCGAGGACGCCCGCGGCCATCTTCGTCTTCGTCGTCGCGGGCGCCGGCGCCGTTGTCTGGGCGCGCCTCGCGGCGGCGGCGGCGCCG